TCCAGCCAGGGGGAATCTGACACAATTTTTGCAGAGCCATGGCAGTAGTTACAATCAGTGTTGTGTTATTTTTCATCTTGTCTGTCCTTGACTTACAGCAATCAGATCTTTATTACAACCCTGTTTGCCTGGTTAAGACCCTACTTTTATTGATTTTCTGTCCCCACACTAGGTGTTTGTCAACTATGACTCAATTACCCTTTTGCATCCTACAGAGCCACCCAGGTGACATTCCTTACCTCCTTGCTTTGAGGTGTGTTGTCAAATCTGTAGTGTCCTCATGGCTTGTGCAGTTTGCCAATACCTATCAGCCCTCGCTGCAGAGCTCAGTCCATCTGTCAGTGATCGCCCTTCATGTTCATCCCGATTTTCCATCCATGCATTGCCATACAGGCTGGTTGAGTAATAATGGTTAAATCTGGTTTTTGTGAATGTAGACATTCAGTAGCAAAGGGCCRTGACCAACCCTGGTAAGAAACAAACCTGTCTGATGTTGTTTCAACACTTAACAATTGCCTTTGAGATGTATCACTGGAGGCCTTGAAATCATTCAGTGATACTGTCTGCTCTTATATCCTTCAAATTCTTTTCATTCATGTAGCCCTGACTGACTCAGATCTCTTAAATRTGTCTGCTACAACCAGTAATGTTATTATTATCAACTAAAATCATTTTGCCAGACAAGATTGATAGCTTGACAGGTTCAGGTTTTGACAAGCCACGTGTTGAAGTTCATAAAAACTGCAAAGGGCAGTGTGATATAAATCAAGTCCTGTTCATCTCCTCAGTGTCCTCCTGGCAGCTGAGCTCAATGTGCACTGCCCGGGGCTGCAGGATCTCTCTGTTGTAGCCAGTGTGAGAGCAGCTTCTCCCAGGTCCCCATAAATTCCCTGAGCCCTGGCATTCATGAAAATTGGTGCTGGAGCCTGGAATGCTCCTTCCTCAGGGCACTGTAAGGGAGGTGCTTCAAATGTACATCACTGTGAGTGTGCTTCCAGGGGTTCTTGCAATGGTGMATATTTTATTGTGACACCAYRTAATTGTGTCYTTTAAGCTTCTTTGAAAATCCATCCGGTACTTCCCCAGAGACCTCCAGGCCAGCTTGCAGGGCTCGGGGCAGTGCTGTGCTGCAGCTGCACCCTGAGGCTCCCTGGGCCCCTTGTCCCTGCTGACAGCCAAGCAGGGACACCCTGATATTGGTCACATCCTAAGGTTCCTCCACCTTGGTTTGAAGAAGTGCAATGTAGCTCATCCTAGAGTAAAAACATTACAGATGTCTTTRATTCCAGTTTTAAAATTTTTGTTTGCATTACCTGCTGAGTAGGAGCCACCACCACAAARGGGTTTGGCACAGGTGACTGAGTACAAGGCAGTCTTTAGCTCTGAAGGTTTTTCCACCTGATAAAGCCAGTATTTCARTGACCTGTGGGACAGCTGCTCCTGGAATGCACAAACCCCAGGCCCCTCTGCCAGTGCAGTTATCACCCACTGTCTCAGAGGACTCTGTGGCTGCAGTCTCAGAGCCAGCACAGTAGGTRCTTGCTGTCGTCTCTCTTCAGTCAGGATCTTTTAATACCAGATAATTAAATATTAAGGAAAAAAACCCAAAACATTTAAACCAAACCACGTGTGTGTTTTGTACATGTGGGTTTGGCTCCATTCACACACAGGACCTGTGGCATTGGTAATTTCTAAATCCAAATTCTGTCACAGGCTGCCAGGGCAGCAGTGCAGTCACCGTCCCTGGGGGGATTTAGCAGATGTGTGGATGTGGCAYTTGGGGATAGGGGTTARTGGTGGCTTTGGCAGTGCTGTGGCTTTGGAGGTGAGGGAGACGAGGCCTAATGAGTGTCTGATGGYCAGAGAGCATCACACTGTGCTACAGAACTGTTTTCCTCTCTCTCTATTTTTATTAATCCTTTCTCCTCCCTTTTTACGGAGAAGCCTATCTTCATTGCCCATACAGCAGATCATCCAGAGTACAATGCTTGAAGATCAGCGTTTGGAGTTAATTTACAGAGCTGCGCTTTACTTGACATTTTTATGTTTTGCTGGTTATTTTTCTAATTACAGCTCAAAGGAAATTCAAGATAAGTATCATATAATGAAGGAGCCAAAACCCCAAGGAAAACTGTTTTGCTGTTGGAGTCCCTGCTTGAAGGAAGCCATAGGCTTTTGTTCTCTAATTAGTGGTGGTTTGGAGTTGGTGASGGGTGGCAGTAGCAGCTCACCTGTACTGAGCACTGTCATGCCAGTATCAGTGAGAGCAACAAGGACTCTCCAAAACCTCTGGGATTACTCCTCCAGAGTGCTGGTGTGCCTTGCAGACAGMTCAGCAGCTGTGGTTAAGAGCCAGCTGTGTGGGGAAAAGCTTTTTCGCATTGGCACGGGCACAGTCACGACTGCTGTGGTCCCCCCGGAATCTGCCCGTGCTTCTGACGGGGCTCGTGAGGCTGCACAGAGTGAGGCCACCCTGCTTGGCTCTGTTCTCCCTCSATGGGCCAGCTGGGAGACTCCAGGGACACAGCCCTGGAACCACCTGCTGGCTTCCAAAATGTGTTTTCCGTAATATACGTGCTGAGTGTTCGGGAGAGCCTGGCTGTGGGGCAGCAGGCATTGCAGGCTTTTGTCTCGGATGCATCMTGCTTCTGCTCTGGGATGAAACAATCCCACTTGGGCATCCAAAGGCAATGTTATTTTCCCTGGAACATGACTGTGTATGGAGTTTATAATCTTGTCTTGTGCCTCTTGTCAAATGCATACGAGCGGTTGTTTGAGTTGAGTCAAAAACTCTTCTCTCTGTTCCCTGGATCTTCTTCTCTGTTTCTAAGGGGGAGTTAGAGACTGATCTTGGCTGAGGATGGTAAGGATGTTGGTTCTTTTCCATGTCAGATTAACAAGGAAATGGATTTTGTCACACAGTGTGCCTCCTCTTGTCCTTAGATGAGAACTGCAAAGCCAGGGCACTCCTTGGGCAGCATCCACTGAGGGAGGAGCTGCTGCTGGTCATCACTTTTCCTTTCCTTGTAATTATAAATAATGGAGCCAAGAAGCCTTGACTTTTAAAAAAAAATATTTTTAAGTATCACACTGAACCGTGTCCTTCCCACAGCCCGCAAGCTGAAGAAACTGGGTAACCTGAAGGCACAGGATGACATGGAGGGAGCCAGCTCATCCAGCCCCACGGAGGAGCAAGCTCCCAAGCTGGTGATGACACGCATCGATGGCTACGAGTGCCAGCCCATCTTCCTCAACGTCCTGGAGGCCATCGAGCCTGGCGTGGTGTGTGCTGGCCACGACAACAGCCAGCCTGACTCCTTCTCCAACCTGCTGACCAGCCTGAACGAGCTTGGGGAGAGGCAGCTGGTCTACGTGGTCAAATGGGCAAAGGCCCTGCCAGGTGAGAAGGAAARCAAACAAATCYCYTCYTGTCCCCTCCCAGGTCCCAAACCCCATCAGCATTGCCGGGGGCAGGTGTGAAGGGGGTGCTCTGTGTCCCAGCACGCAGCTCCTGGGGACCGTGGGCACCGAGTGTGTCCCCTGCCTGGGAAGGGACCACGGGCACTGTGTGTGTCCCCTTCCTGGGAAGGGACCGTGGGCACTGAGTGTGTCCCCTGCCTGGGAAGGGACCACGGGCACTGAGTGTGTCCCCTGCCTGGGAAGGGACCACGGGCACTGAGTGTGTCCCCTGCCTGGGAAGGGACAACAGGCACTGAGTGTGTCCCCTGCCTGGGAAGGGACCGTGGGCACTGAGTGTGACCCTCCCTGGGAAGGGACCGTGGGCACTGAGTGTGTCCCCTGCCTGGGAAGGGACAACAGGCACTGAGTGTGTCCCCTGCCTGGGAAGGGACCACGGGCACTGAGTGTGTCCCCTGCCTGGGAAGGGCCCTGCAGCAGCGTGGGGCTCTTCTCCAGAGGGGCTGGCGGTGGGAGAGGGAAATGAGGGGTGGTGGAGTGTGTTGGAATCCTGCTCTGGGTTCAGACAGCCCCTGGCCAGCAGTACCATGTGGGCACAGGACACTTGTCCCCATGGCAGGGCTTGCTGCTGTTTGGGGTTCAGGGTCCTGCTCACCTCCCCTTCTCTCCATGGAGGTTTTGCTGCTCTTCCAGGCCATGTCTGCCARCCCTGCAGAACTCTTGCCCTCTAGACAAGGATTAGCCCTGTCCCAGAACCCACCTGAAGCGATGAAAAGGGTRAATTCCAACATGGCAGAAGAGCAATAAAGAATCCCAAAGGGCTCTTTCCTGGCAGTCACTCAGGCTGCCCATGTGATAGCCCRGTGGGATATATTTATGACGCCTTGAGAGAGGTAATGTGGGCCAGGAATATTCCAGATGCTGGTCAGCAGGTGCAGTAAGTGGAGCATCCTGGTGACTGATGTGTTTATTGAGCTGGATCTGCACGGGGTCACAGGTTGGTGACACACTGCCTGTCCTATGCCATAATCCTGCAACTGAGTCAGKGGGATTGCAGAGGGCTGAGCTCACTCTGGGCACAGCAGCACCCAGYTCACCTCCCAGCATCCCAGACACTGGGGCATGGGGCCAGTTCCTGCCACCTTCTCCATTCTGTCCTCTCACCTCAGGGAGTGACACAGAAAAGAGGGATCCCACTCGTGGTGTGTGTGGGGTGGTTCAGCCAGAGGAGGAGACTGAGGCATGGTGAGATTGCCACTCTCTGCCAGAGCCTGGTGATGAACTGTGGCCAGGTGTCTGATGTTTCCAGGAGTTTAGCAGCCCCCTGGACTGCTGCTCCCAGGGGGACTTTGGTCTGGATACCCTTAAATGCAGAATAGCCCGTTCTGTTTCTGCTTTCTTGAGTCCCTTGGCTTGTAAAACCAGGGACAAATCCTGCTTCCTCTTTGGCTTATCTACACCAGACATCAAGATCAGACACAGAGATACCACCAAAGCCACCTGGCATCCAGGGCTGAGGCTGTGCCACTGCAGTAGTGCTGATGGAATGGGAGAGTGCTTTGGAAAATGCTTTCTATCATAACCACTCCCTTATCAGAGAGTTTTGCTCTCCTGGACTGCACCTGATCCCCAACTCCTCAGTGTGCAGTGGTGCCAGCTGCTGCCCTGCTGCCCCTGGAGCTGGTGCCAACTGTGCTGGGATGGCATCTGGGAAAGATTCATTCTCCTGCTTGTTTGCCTTGGAGAGCTCTCCAAGCAACGGAGATCCTTGCCTCAGCGGGTTGTAATTATACACTGGAGCTGTTAAATTGCTTTAATATTTGATTGAAGTAATGTATGATTGTCTTGAAACTCAATTATGTTTGCCTGTTTACAAGTACCTGGAAAAAAGCAGTGTTGGAGGTGGTGTAAGCGTGCCTGGGATTTAACTTTGAGCCTCCATCTGGGAATGCTAACTTGAATTTAGTTGCTATTTTTGTTTCTCTTGCAATGTAGCTGAGGTTTCCATGCTCATTTCCACAGTCAGCAGATCCATGCCGTGTGTATGGGACAGAAACCAGAGCATCTGTAACTGTGGCAGGAGGCCTCGGGGTTGCCCCTCCTGGCTCTTCGTGTCACATTAAAATCCAGTTACTTAAATTTGGTGAAGTCCTATGGGACTTTCTCCCYTCCTTGTGTCTGAAGTCCCCTTTCTTCCCTTCCAGGGGCATATTTGTGCTTATCTGTCCTTGATTCCCAGTCATGGGAKCCCCACGTCACGCCTGGTGTGTGARTGTCCCGRGACAAGCTGAGCTCAGGCCRTGGACTGASCACCTTGTCCTAAGAGGAGCRCTGCAGGAGAGCTGGAMTCTGCATGGGAACAGCCCTGGAAACTGCTGGAACCCCGCAGTAATTCATAACATCCCTCCCTCACTGTSTTTTAGGATTTCGCAACCTGCACGTGGATGACCAGATGTCGATAATCCAGTACTCTTGGATGGGCCTGATGGTGTTTGCCATGGGCTGGAGATCCTTCACCAACGTCAATTCCAGGATGCTTTACTTCGCTCCAGACCTGGTGTTCAAYGAGTAAGTGTGAAACAACCACAGCCTAACACTGGGCTTTGGGTCAGCCCTGGGGACAAACTGCACCGGGAGCGGTCACACTGCCYGACCCAGCCCTGTCCCCACTGCCACCAGCCGTGGGGACCTCCAGGAGAAGTGAGGATACTGAGAAGTGAGCCCACAGGGCAGCAGCAGGAGCTGGTGTGGGGTGAAGGGCTCCTCCATACACACCTCCCTTTSTGCTTTGAGGTTTGAATTCCAGTTTGCAGCTCTGTTGGGCAGTGAGCAGAGAAAGGGTGTGCTGTAGGGTCCTGGTGGGCTCTCCTCAATGTAGCTTAGGGCTGGGCAGGGTTTGCTGGCACTCAAATAGAAGAGCCTGAACCTGATAACCAAGCACAGTGTGAGGCAAACCCACACCTGCCTGGGAGCTCAGCCTCATATCCCTCACAGAGAGAAACGTCTGGGAAATCACTGCAGTCACTCTCCAAACACTGCAATCCTGGGTAGCCATCTGTGTCCAGAGAGGATTACACACGATGTTCTGGAAAATGCTCCTCTCCTGTGTGTGGCATTCCCAGCACAGAGCTTGGGCCCTTGGCAGTGGGGGTTTGCTGGCTCAGGGAGCGTGTCCCCCTGTCACCTGTGGTGTCTGTGCCATCCGTACCCATCTCGCCCTGCCAGGTACCGCATGCACAAATCCAGGATGTACAGCCAGTGCATCAGGATGAGGCACCTGTCCCAGGAGTTTGGGTGGCTTCAGATCACACCCCAGGAGTTCCTCTGCATGAAGGCTCTCCTTTTCTTCAGTATTAGTGAGTACCCACACCCTTTCCTCCATAGAGCTCCAGCACCTGAGGATCTGGTGCTTTCTCTGTATCTGGACTTTCATTTCCCAGGGAGAGCCTGGRGATGTCCCCAGCTTCATCCTTCCTCTTGCTCTCCTGTTTTTGTCGCTCTCTGGGCTYCTCTCACTGTTTCCTTTCCATCCCACCCAGTTCCAGTGGATGGCCTGAAGAACCAGAAGCTCTTYGATGAGCTCCGCATGAATTACATTAAGGAACTTGACCGTATCATTGCCTGCAAGAGGAAGAACCCCACCTCCTGCTCCCGGAGGTTTTACCAGCTCACCAAGGTCCTGGACTCCGTGCACCCGGTAAGAGAGGACAGGCAAATGTCCATCTATACACATAACGTCCATTTAAATTCATCATAAACAATATAAGAAAGAAACTTCTCACAGTGGGAATGATCATTCCCTGGAAAAATCTCCCCATCATGGGAGGAGTTGGAGAGAGCACTGGATAGTCTCATCCAGGCTCGCTTTCCCAGGGAAGGTGAGATCTCTGTTTTGTGTGTTCCCAGAGAAACCACTGCCCAGGGTCTTGTTTAACCAGCTCTTCCYTCCCCAGATCGCCAAGGACCTGCATCAGTTTACATTTGACCTCCTAATCAAGGCGCACATGGTGAGCGTGGACTACCCAGAAATGATGGCCGAGATCATCTCTGTGCAGGTTCCCAAGATCCTGTCTGGAAAAGTCAAGCCAATCTACTTCCACGCGCAGTGATCTTTCRGAGGGACCCCCGTGCTGCCACCCCCATTCCAGCCATCTCCTGCCTGTTACTTCTGCACTACTGTCCTGCAGTGCCTTGGGGAATCCCTCTGCGGCGGTGGCCAAGGGGACAGGCAGTGCAGACCTGCTGGGATTCCTGAGATTTCTATTTTCCTGAGGTACCTCTGAACTGAACCCTGGCACCGGCCTCTGCCTGGCTCCAGCTGCTCACGGTGCTGGACAGAGACTGGTGAGGGCAGCGGCGTCATGTCTGTGCATTCTCCTCTGTTTGTCACCGTGGCTCCAGCCAGGGCCACGGGACAGCGGGAGAAGTGCCAGTGGTTGGTGGGTTTGGGGTGATTTTTATAAAAAGAACACGACACAAAGCAGGTTGCAGCTCCACGTTTGGGTGTGGGTTATGTTGCCAGCCTGCTTCCGGACGTTTTGTTTGCATTATGGTGCTGGGAAGCAGATGAATTCAAACAYTGCAGAGGAGAAGCAGAGCAGAGCTGGGGGACGAGGTGAATTTGTGGCTGAGGAGTTCACAGTCCCTGCAGCCACCGTGGGATCTGCTCCGGTCAGCTCGGCCCTGGGACCTGCCTGCGCTGCCGAGACACGAGTGATGGAGTGGACAGGCTGCAGTGGAAGGCTGGCCAAGGAAGATGGCCTTGGGAATGCCCCAAAGGCACCTGACTCCTGTTTTCCACCTGGGATGTTTTTCCTGTGGCCTGTCCAGCCGGCTCTTGGTCTGCCCCGCAGACCCCCGGGCGCTCAGCCGTCACATTTCCATCCTCTCCAGCTGCTGCTGCTCCCTGACAGAGCCGAACCCACCTCCCAAAGTGCCTGATGCCCTCGGACCTCACACCTGCCGGGCTCCCCTGGGCACCTGCAGCCCCTGCCCAGCCCCACTCCTGCTCTGCTCCCACCGCAGCTCTGCAGATCTGGGATTCCAGTTACGCTCCTTCCCTTCATTTATCCCAAATATTTCATCCCAACTTTTTTTTTTCAATGCCAGCAGATGGGTGTCCTGGAGCCAAGACCAAGGCCAGGATCTGTGGGACCTGTGGGACCATGGGACTCCTCTGAATCCCGTCCACGGGGAGGTGGCTGTGGGAGCAGTCTGGTGCCACCAYGGTGCTTCAGGGGGCTGGAAGGGAAGCGCCAAGAGACCCCCTGCTCTTGGGAGTGGCACACACAGCTCCTGCTGATAGCAGTGGCTGCTTGCAGCCCTGGGGGACACCGCTGTG